TTTAGAGTCGCATGAGTCATCACGTCGACCATCACCTGAAAAGCAGCACTCAGGAAGTCGGCGAGACCTTCGTTTTGTCTGCGCCTCACCGACTGCACTTGCGAAGACACCGGCCGTGACTCCAGGATCCAAGGGCAAGTCGCGCATTGGACGTGGTAAAGATCGTGTACCCTCGAGGCCGACTTCTAGTGGAAAATCGTCTTTCCGTAGGCCTACGGCGAGTTCAAACAATAAGGTTTCGACGATGGCGAAGCACTTCGAAAAGCTTGGCCGAGACGCCGAGCGCTACAATCGTCGCTATGCCGTCATTCGTGGTCGGCGTGCTCGTCCAGTCACGTCCTCGCGGGTTAAAGTTGAAGTGCTGGAAAGCGTGAAAGACGCCATGCAAGACGATGAAGAGGACTCCTCCGACTCTGAATCGTCCAGCGAGGCTGATGACGAGGGAGAGGCTGACAACGAGAATGAGGAGGACAAGAAGCCTCAGGACGAGCCCGCGCCGAAGCCTGCGTCTTCGACCACACAGGAGGCGCTGCTTCCAGACTTTCCCTTGAAAACTGCACCACCGGTGTCAAATTTCCCATTGCTCTCCCACCCCTCTACTGAAGCCAGCGCACCGACGCCGGCTGCTTCGTCGGGTCCGGCGCCCGCTCCAGGGCGTATCTCTCTTCCTCCTTCTCCCTTCTTGTCTTCATTACGACAAGGTTTACCGAGCACGCCGCCACCTGAACTGGATTTGGGTACAACCGGAACTAGCTCTATCTTTAAGGCCCTTTCTGGCCTGTGGACCGGCCCATCTCGGCAGGAGTTTGAAGCTGACGATCCTATCGCGGATCCCGAACATATCTTCCGAGACTCATCGATGGTCGTGCGTATTGACGAGCCAACATCGATTATCTCTTTAGCGCTTAAGTAAGTTTCCAATTGAATCTTTGACAAGAAAATTTATCTTCGGGTCCAGTTCCACACAATATCGAGACATGTTGCACAGGTCTCGCTCGGAGAAGCGGGGGGCTGCTGCGAGGGAGGCGCGTATCATTTCAGAGGCGAGCGAAACGTTCATGCCGGACGACCAATCAATCGCTGAGTCCACGTCGACATGGGGTATAGTGAATGTCGACCCGTCTGAGCTACCTGATCCGATGGAGGACATGAAAATGCCGTCCTCACGTCTTCCTTGGGCCATCTGTGAGCTGTTTTTGCTTCACTATTCCTTTTATGTAACACAATTGACCGGTCCGTGTCCGCCTTAGCGTTCGAGAGTGGAGGTTTGACTATCAGTTGCACGGTCCTGTATCCCGAGCAATTCGACGCACTGCGGCGTACCTATGATTGTGAAAAGAGCATGATCGAATCGCTAGCGCGCTGTGTCAAATGGAATGCTAGCGGAGGCAAGTCGGGCTCAGCGTTTCTAAAAACGCGAGGTACGTTCTCACGATGGTATCAGTACTCGTCAGTAATCGATTTCGTAGATGATCGTTTCATCGCTAAAGAGCTTTCAAAGCCTGAGCTTCAGACCATGGAGACCTTTGCGCCCGCATACTTCGACTACATGTCGTCGGCCGTATCAGCTGATGTAAGTAGCTACTTCCCTTTCAGTCGACAATGTGCAGGTTGATCACATGTTGTATAGCGGCCTACTCTTCTTGCCAAAGTTTTCGGCTGTTATAAGCTAACCTTCAAGAAGACTAGTCAAGATAAAGGAAAAGGCAAGACGAAGACAATGCAAATGAATTTATTAGTGATGGAAAATCTATTCTATGACCGCCGGTTCTCGAAGGCAAGTATAGCCTCTTGTATAGACCAGCATTGCGTAATAAGTGTATCTGCTAGATCTACGATCTCAAGGGCTCAACGCGTAATCGGCACGTTCACGCTACTGGTCGAGAAAACGAGGTCTTACTAGACGAGAACCTGATCCAATGTCAGTGCTGCTGGGGCATACGTTTTTTTTTTCCTCAGGTCCCTGACTGACGGTGATTCGTCGTGTCCCAGGTGCACACGAGAAGCCGTTTTATGTGCGTGAGCACTCGAAGCGCATACTCCGTGGAGCATTGCATAACGACACCAAATTCTTGGCTGATATTAACGTGATGGACTATTCTCTGGTTTGTGGGGTGAGTGCCGAATGATACCCACGATATTATAGAACTCAAATTGACACATGTGCTGCACACCAGGTGGACAGTGAGACAGATGAGCTTGTGGTCGGCATAGTCGGTAAGTTAAGACGGTGGTGGACGTCTTCTTGGCTGATTATTTGGTCGATTAGATTATATAAGAACATACACTTGGGATAAGAAACTGGAAAGCTGGGTCAAAGAGTCGGCCTTCTTGGTCAGTAAGGGAGAGCCAACCATCGTGACACCGAAGCAGTACAGGCAACGGTTCATCAGCGCCATGGAGAGATATTTCTTGTTGGTAGGTAATTATGCGACATCCAAGAACTTTCGAGAGCTTCACGTTGTACAGGTACCGGATCGATGGATGAAGGAGATGGACATGCCTGAAGAGGACGTAGCCTGATTGACAAATTTTCTCTCACGAATGCCTCACGAACGAATGTTCATTGGTCACGAATATCGTCACGATGCATTTATATATAGGTGATTGGAAGCAATGTTTATCATATGACATATGCACTATAGTTACACTCAATACGTCTGCAATGGATCGGGACATTTTTCAACCGGCACAACATGCAATGTATGTGGAAATATGATGAGAAAATCAAGCATGTTGTGGGTACATGACCTTGCATTTCCTGATACAGAAATCGGCACATTGTGAGCTTTTTGGGTTAGATCGCCGATCAATCGATCACCATCTGAGACCGCTCATCGATTTTCCGACCATTGTTTCAATGTTTGCGTGCGAGGCGTTGATCCTGCTCGTGAGTTGCTTTTTTTTTTTTTGAATCTTCAATTTCATAATCAGCAGACTGCAAGATTTACAGACAATGCCCTCAAAATCAAAGTCGATATTTCGTCAGCCAACAGCCCAGCACTTTCAGCTCGTTCACCGTTCACAAAGAGATCCCCTCATTCACGACCCAGAGGCTAGCCAACATGTATTGAAGCCGTTTGTTCGAGAGAATGAAAAGAAAGCATGTTTTGCATTTGTTCGTTATATCCAATATTTACTGACGATTGTCTTGCAGGGAAAGACAAGAGCGGAACTTGAAGCGCTCTTAGCCATTCCTGACGGTGGAACGGGCGGCCAACGATCCAACATTGGAGAAGCTGCCCTATACGGTGTCTACTTTGACGATACAGAATATGATTACATGCAGCACTTGCGACAGGTAGAGGTGCAAGAAGACGATGTCGACAGCGTATGGGTGGAGGCGCCTGCTCCCTCGAAGTCGAAGGGTGGGAAGGGCAAAGGCAAGGATGCAGCGTCACTTGAATTGCGCGACGAGACGAAGCAGGCACGCGACCTGCCGAAAGAGGTGTTCGCGTCGTCGTCGGAACTGCTACGGACGTACGAGTCGCAGCAGGCCGTGCCAGACAGCATCGCAGGCTTCCAGCCAGACATGGATCCGCACCTACGGCAAGTGCTCGAGGCGCTCGAAGACGATGCTTTTGTGGACGACGACCTTGAGGACGGCTTTTTTGGGGAGCTAGTTGCGGACGGTGAGCGCGGTACGGATGAAGTGGTGGAGTTTGAATTTCAGGAGGAGGATGTGTCGGAAGGGAAAGGTGCTGCTGAAGCGTCGCCGGGCGGCGCAGAGGAGGACGAGCTAGATGGAGTCGATCTGCCTTGGGAGCAACGCTTTGATCGTTTCCAGAAGGCACAAAAAGCGGCGAACGCTCGCGGCCCGGGGAGTGACGATGAGCCTAACTCTGAGGCTGGCGACACCATCAATGGGCTTCCATCATTGTCTGTTTTAGGTGGCAGACGTCGTCGTTGGAAGGGCACCAGCGACGCGTCCGGCTACAGCATGAGCAGTTCAGCTCTGTATCGCACGGAGGCGCTGCAGACATTGGACGAGCAGTTCGATCAGGTAGGACAGTTTGGATACACTCCATTTCATTACTGAACCCTCATTTACTCTTTCAGATGATGTTGAAAGAGTACAACGAAGATGAGGAGGACGATGAAGATCCTCCTGACTCTGATTCGGAGAACGACGCGCCTGAGCTCATCACTTCACGCGATGACTTTGCGACGATGATGAATGAATTCCTCGATGACTACGAGATCCTTGGACGACGGCTGAAGCCCAAGCTCGGGGGCGAGACTGGTGTTGAGAAGTTGGACACGTTTAGGCGTGCATTTGGCGAAGTGCGGCAGGTCGATCTTGATCGAGTAGATGACAACGACGTGGACGACGATGACTTGTTCAGCGACGATGATGAAGACAAATACGACCGCTGGGACTGCGAGACCATTTTATGCATGTGTCTCCTCTTTTTACCTGACCGTTCGCAGGCTGAATTTTCGTAGCAACGTATTCGAACCTCGAAAACCATCCAAAAATCATTTCGGCACGCAGTCTGTCTGACAAGCGACACAAAGGATCTGTGCCTCAAATATCGCTCGACCCAAAGACGGGCATTCCCATCGTGGCTTCTGAGGACACGCGAACCGAACGGAGGCGTGTGGAGGAACGCCGTGCTCGGCATCGAGACAGTGACGCCTCCGGCACCGAGACCGAGACGGAGCACAATCAGCGGCGTGCGACGGTCACGCGGCCACGCGGGGAGTCGAAGGAGGACAAGAAGGCGCGGAAAGCTGTGATGAAGGCCGAACGCCAGAGCAGACGTGCGAACAAAAAGGCGACAAAAGAACAGTTCAGTGTAGAGCGCACGAGAGCCGGAGGTGCTGGTGTAGGTGCTATGGCAGAACGACTTCGAAAACTGTAGTGGAAACCATCGCTGCAATGGTACTGTACCTTTGCGTATGAACATTTGTTTCAAGGTTTAGTTGTATAGTGTATGCATGATCGTTGGGACGACATTGAATGTGTTATGGTAAAAAATCTTGTGTGTACCTTGGACTGCTCCCTACCAGAATCGAACTGGTGACCCTTGCATAACTGTATCCACATAAGTACAATGCTCTAAACCGCTGAGCTAAGGGAGCTTGGACACAGTGTCCAGCAGGTCAGTATCAGTAACGATGGCCCGTTGGACCCCTTCACCGACCCCTAACAGGACTCCTGGTGCCGCTCATCTTGATCCATGGCTACCATCGCTGGGACGCCTGGTGTGTCGCTGCAGTTGCTTCCTATTGTAAGATAGGCATACATTTGTCGGAAGCGCAATCCTGAGATCGATATATTCCAGGAACTTTTGTGCGCAATTCTCAACCATGTGCCACCGCACGCTTTACAGCACACTGCACTCGCTCTTTCTCGTGTCCTGCCCGGCCATATACCGACGAGCTACCTATTTCGTTATGTGCGCATCACACGCAGCAATCAACCCTTCCAGCTGTACAAGGTATTGCGTAGCGGGGGTGTCACGATAAGTTGGGTGCAGTCGCTCGCGATGGAGTGCTGGGAAGCTGTCGATGCCAACATCGTGCTCATGGTCCTCCAGCTGCTCCCAGATCTTCCCGCGTTGACCATCTATATTGGACCTGCTAGTCTTGCCCCCGAACACCTTGACGAGCTGTTGACAATCCCACGTCCTAACCTGCGTTATCTGTCCTTGCGTTTCAAGCCGTAGTAAGTTTCGCCGCTGCAAATTGTTCGCCATGCATAGTGCTGACAATCCACTCAAAAGTGTGGATAAACCTTCCTACGACCAGTTTCTCAGGGTGCGTCAGCCATACAGCGCTGCTTTGCCCGACAAGTTTAGGTACCATTGTACATTTCCAGGGGGCTTATTTTGACTCTGCTCTCACGGCACTCGCGAAATGGCCTGCGTGTGATCTCCCTAGTTTGTCAATCGTACAGGATCCGATGGACCCAAAGGCGGTCCACCAACGAGCCTTCGCCCAGCCACTCGTGTTCTTGGGGCTTGATGTGAATCTCTCTGTGCTCGCCAGCAGCGATTATCTCTCCACAGTAACCGCCTTGCGCCTCCGCATACCCGGACGGCAGGTCACACAACCCCTCACTGCACATCCATGGTCATTGCCGAGCATTGACTTGCTTGATCTCAGCACATGCAACATTCTAGGTGAGTCTGCTTCACTTCCTTGCTTTGTCGAGCGCGCGTCGCGGTCTTACGGCTGCAGAGTCCGACGTCGATGCGTTGCTGCAGCATTTTGTGACGCTGCGTTATCTTATCCTCGATGAATGCGCCGTCTTCCATGGAGAGTTGCGCGGCGGTGAGTGGGAGGCACTCGGGAAACGCTGCGCACTCGCAGGCGTACGGCGTGCGGCAGAGCGCGAACTTACTCTGCGCATCTGGCTCGAGGCGAACAGCACTGCGCACCGCGACGCCGCGCTCAAGCGTGCCAATCAAAAATTCAGCCGCAAAATCAAGCGCGGCCGCCACGGGCTCGCGTCGTCGTACGTTTCGATTCGGCAGGAGATCGAAACGACGCTGCCTGTTGGTGTTGCGCATGCTCCCGGAGCCAGTAGTGGTACGGGGAGAGACGCAGGCCCGGCGGAATGGCTGAGCTCCGGTAAGCGATTACGCGTCCTTCCGCCATGGCCAACGCTCCGTTCCATTACAATTTCGTCGTGTCGTGTTCGTCCCGATACTGTTCCTGCGGTCCGTGCAGAGTTTGAGGCTGGGTGGACAGAGGGCCTTGCGCAACTCGAGGTCCGCCGCGCGACTCTGCGCAAGTGGCGTGCTGCGGGAACATCCATTATATTATGCTTTAAGGATGCCGATGATGCGGCGACGGATAGCGAGGACGACGACGACGGGGAGAATTATGAAGACGGCTTGCAGGGTCTTGCGTTCATTAGCTCACAGGATGACTTCGCCCTTCGGCATGTTCCGTGTCCCGTCCTCTGTCTAGCTGGTGCAGACCGACATGGAAACCATGTAGAAGGGTGTGGACATGAAATTGCTTGGGATATATGGAAGGATGGCCTATAGATGTTACGTACGTTACGTGCCATTGCCTCGATGCAGTTGTTATTTCTATATCACTAGACTCATCCATATGTACATGTATCATCAGTTGGAGTCAGTGGATTCAAAAGAGCTGGACTGTGTACTTCTAATCCCATGTCTATAACCTGAAGCTCAACGTGGGAACTTTGCTGTGAAGAGACATCCACAGGTGACGGCTTTTGAATCCTCAAGGCCTCAAGTTGACGGAGTCCTTCCCTGATCCGAAGTCGGTTGCCGTGTCAGGAGCAAGGTGCAGATCGGTAAAATCTTTCATGGAAATGTTGTTCGCGGAACGCGTTCCACGTCCCCGTCGTGGCTTTAATCCCCACGTGCATGATGTATCAGACCCCTCCAGGACAGAACACCTGTCTAAAACAAAAGGAAAGCGAAATAAGCGCTGCTTTAATGATAAGAAATATGACCAATGTTACATGCGTAGATAGAATCTTAAAAAACCTAACCGACAAATGCGGCAAGAACATGTATACTCCTTATGGACAAAACTGACACGACGAATAAATCCTCATCTAGTCCCACTTGTCGATCTTCATGGTGCCGTGCTCCTGGAAGTACGTGTGGAACTTGAGTGCGTTCTGTATTCAACAAATCGGTCAAACGTTGCAAAGTGCAGATCAGCTGGTTATCCGACCTTCAACATATGCGGCTCATGGCCAGAGCCTGCCTTGAGGCACTCGAAGAGCGAACGCTCGTAGTACTGAAGGAAGGGCACATTCAATACTACGACTAAAAGAGTCGGAGAAAAGCACGACATACCTCCATAAGTATATCCCTGTAATCGGGGTGCGCGCACTTCTGTATGATGATGGGGGCGCGCTCGCGCGGCGCAAGGCCACGCACGTCAGCTAGACCCTGCTCGGTAACGATAATGTCGAGATCGTGCTCGGTCTGGTCGATGTGCGAGCAGAAGGGCACAATACACGAGATACCCGTCGGATCAGTCTTCGTCCCGCGGCTGGAAGGACGTGTCAAGCTCAGTCGTGTAAAGCATGCACAGTACTACTTACCTGGATGGCGTGTGCATGATCGACAGCTTGGCATTGCGCAGGAAATCGGCGGAGCCGCCAATGCCGTTGAGCATACGCGAGCCGAGTGCGCATGTGGAGTTCGCGTGCGCGTACTGCAATTAAAAAGCATTTCCCAAATTGCATTTCTTAAATGAGAAGAAAGATCACTCACGATGTCTACTTCAAGTGGCGTGTTCATGGCAATAACGCCCAACCGACGAATGATCTCGGGCGAGTTAGCCACCTGCTGTGAGCGAAGGAGCAGTCTGTCCTTGTAGTCCTTCCAGTCTACACAACGAAAAACGAGTCGTTGGATAATTTCACTTCACTCGCGCAAAAAAAGATACTCACTGACGTAGAACCTCTCGAACTCCTCCGAGCTGAAGCGGAGACTCGTCGCCGTCGCAAACTCCAGCTTGCCAGAGTTGATGAATTGGACGAACGTATCTGACGATCAATTAGTTATTCGCGAAACAAATATGAATGCCGGGGAGAGAGAGTCAACGCACCCTGAAGCACCTCCGTCCAGACCTGCACATTCTCGAAGGGTCCGTTGGCGAGTCCACCGATGATGCTGTTTGCAACATTGCCAATGCCGCTCTGCAACGGGAGCAGGTTCTTGGGCATCCGCCCTGCCTTGACTTCCTGCGAGAGGAAATCAATGAGATGCTCTGCAATAGCACGCGATGTCAAAGTCTAAAACGCATATATTCAGCATTAGTGGTGGCTAAGAGAACATTCTTGTATAATCTCACCTCCGGCGCGTTGTCACCCGTGTTGTCAGGTAGTTTGCTCTCGACGATGGCCAAGACACGGTCGGGGTCAACCGGGATAGCCGTCTCGCCTATCCTGTTCGACGGATGCGTGATCAACTGAATTGGTTTTGTCAGCCCCAAGGACATGAATGAGAATACAAAACAACGTACGTAGGGTTGACGGTGTGGCGGCAGGAGGGTCGGCGTAATATCGTGCAGACCGGTCAAGTCGGGTATATGAGTGTTCACCTGCATGTAAATCAGCATTGCATGGACGGAAGCAACAGCGCGCAGCTCACCTCGATGATGATCTTCTCTGCTGTATGCAGGATCTCAGGTGTTGCGCCCACCGAAGCACCAGGGACGATCCAGCCTTCTTCTGTGATTGCGGTAGCCTCGACGATGGCCCAGTCCAGTGGGCGGCGCGGGTCGCCGTGATTCTTCTTCAGCGAGAAATATCCGTATGTGAGATCCTGAGGGAACACTGGGACAGCAAAGGTGAGTGTCCCGCCGTATTGTGTTAGTTCCCACTTACTGCTCAAGTGCTTGTCCACGAAGTTGATGCGCCCTGCATTAATGCCCTTCGCGATTTCCTTACCGACCTGGTGCGGATACCTACGCTCGATCATGTCGAGGCGCGCCCAACGTTCCTCGACCTCGGGTCCAACGCTCGCGCCGACAAAGAGGTGGAATTTCTTTTTCGTCGCAGGGTCGTTCTGAAGGTTGTTCTGCTCGACATAATCCGCAATCGCGGTCGGTACCAACTTGGGGTAGCCAACACCCGTGAAGCCGGACCACCCAACGTAATCGTCGTTCTATTGCACCTTGTTGGTCAGGGCGAAATTTGACATGATCAGCGCACATACCTTGAAAAGGGGCGCGAGGTCCTCTGGCTTTGCGAGCTTCTTGAGGTATCCTGGCCGATGCACACGCTCTTTCAGCTCGGCTGACGGTCCCGCGCTCGCTGCCACATTCGCCACCCGTGCTGTCGTCTTAAACCCCCGCGCCACTGCAGGGGTGGCTGCCGCTGAACGGCGGAGAATGACCTTGCGCGCTGCTCTCCTCGCCGTAGAATGCATGTCGCCGTCAAACCTGTCGTAAAATGGAGGAAAACAAAACGCGGGGAAAGAAGGACGGACGTGGTGGAGAAAAGGTGGGGAATGCGGGGAATCTTAAACTGGCTATGCGGTTTTCCGGAAAACCGTTAGAGTCCGCCCGGTGTATGGATGTCCCTGTCACGGGCAACTTGAAGGAACTCCGTCCGCGAGGGTAGACACTAAAAACTA